TTTTTGGTTTTTCGAGACAGGGTTTCTCTGTGTAGCTTTGTGCCTTTCCTGGATCTTGCTCTGTAGACCAGGCTGGCCTCAAACTCACAAAGATCTACCTGGCTCTGCCTCCCGAATGCTGGGATTAAAGGTGTGTGCCACCACTGCCTGACTGAAAAAAGTTTTTAATTAAAAAAAATCAAGAAAAAAACCCTGAGTTAGTGTTCTTGCTGGAGGGGTCATTCGAGACCATGTAGCATGACATTTCTTGGACACGTTGTGAGGATCACTAATACACTAAGTGGAATAAAGCTAGGACTTCTTTTTTATATGCATAAGCTATAGTCAATTCCATTCCTTTCTGTTATTGTTGTTGTTATTGTTGTCTTTGAGACAGGGTCTCTCTACACAGCCCTGGCTGTCCTGGAACTCACTACATAGACCAGGCTGGCCTTGAACTCACAGACCTCTGTCTGCCTCTGCCTCCTGAGCACTGGAATCAAAGGTGTGCTCCACCACACCCACCCAATTTTCTAGGCTTGAATGAGGACTCCTACATATGCATCTGCCCTTGGCAATTTCACATATGAGAGTCCATGTCAAGTTTGGGGTGGGGGTGAGTTGAGAACTCTGTTATTTCGATCCCTTCATTTCACAGGTGGTAGGAACCTGAGGTTACAGTTAGTTCATAGCCTTATTGATCTGTTGTGTGCTAGGCTCAGTGTTCGATCTTGCACTGAAGTCATATAATATTAATGCCTTAATCTTTATAACACTTTATAGAAGAAAATTTTGCTTGTATCACCTCAATTAATTCTGCTACCATTTCTGGGACTTGAATTATATTCTCCCCATTTATAGATAAGGAAATTGAGGTTCAAAGAGATTATGGATTGCTTCTATTCCATTGCATAGTTAATGGTAAGCCGGGGATGAGAATATAGTAGTTTTTAGTTGGTTAGGATGCTTGCCTACAATGCACAAAGGCTTGGGTTTAATTCCCAGTACTACATAAACTGGCTGGGGTGGAATATGCCTGTAATTCCAGCACTTAGGAGGTGGAGGCAAGAGAATCAGAAAGTCAGAGCCATTGGCACGTGTTGAGTTCAAGGCTGACTTGTTACATAGTGCAGCAACAAACAAGAGAGACCCTGCCTCAATACAAGGTGGAAGGAGAGAACTGATATCTGATGTTGGCCTCTGACTTTCATATGCTCACTGTAGCACACTTGTGCCCACGCTCATACAACTGCATACATACACACCCACACATATAAGCCATGCAACTCTATTGTTAATACAAGTGAATACAACTGAATGGTTTATGTCACCTATACAAGAGGTTTAGGGCAGACCATATGGTGTGAGGCTCAAGCTAGTGGAGTTTGTAGCAGAGCTTTTTGAAATTACAATTCTAAGACACATGGTGCCATGTACCAGTGATACCAATGACTTGATTTCCAATCAAGGAAGGCAGTAACTTTCTGCCATTACACATAGGTCAAGTAGGCTCATAATACCTTCTGGATTGGGGAATTTCTGTTGCATTGATCTTGGTGTCTTCAGACAGTAACAAACAGGACAGTTAGGTGGGGAGAACTGAGATCATGAAGTCAGCCTTCTACTTTGATCTTACATTCCACTGTACTCGATACTTTAGCAAAACTGCTAAATTGGTTTTCGTTTTGGAGAAAGAAAGAGGATGGAGAAAAGGCTGAAAAGAAATTCTGGTTGGCTCTGGGCTATGGGGAGGTCCTTTTTAAATGACCCACATTTGGGGGGCCAGCCAGATGGGCTGCCCTCTGCTGGCAGGGCTAAAAACTGCCTCCTGTAGATAGAAGAGGGATTTGTATGGTGAAGCAATAAAGGATGGTGTTCCATTTCTCTTACAGTCATTCTTTCCTGTTTCTTGTTCAGATTCAAAGGCCCGTAAGCAGAAGACTTCCTCCCAAAATTCAGAGCACTGCCTCAGGAACAGGAACCTTCTCCTGACCAGCAAAGCCCAGGGGATCTCCGACTCACCAAACGGTTTCCTCCCAAATAACCTGGAGGAGCCAGCCTGCCTTGAAAATTCAGAAAAGCCATCAGGAAAACGAAAGTGCAAGACCAAGCACATGGCAAACGTCTCGGAAGAGGCAAGGGTGTGTGGCCACCAAAGAGATGAACGTGGCGGGTATGGGCTAGAGAGGCAGACTTTTGACCAGGTCCCTCTGGCAGTAATTTCCTCGGGAGGGTGAAGGAAGCAAGTAGATAGGGGAGGTCAACTAATGTGTATGCAAGTATTTGAAACTAGTTCCAGAAGGGTTGGGACAGATTTAAAGAGTAGAAACTAAAGTTATAGTTAGCCCTACGGTTTGGCCCCTGATTTCTTTTCCCCAGCAATCTTTGTATCTCCTTTGAGTTAAGATACAGTTAAAGGATGTGGCGGTGCACTCGCCTGAGTAGGTTGTTAACATCTAATCAAGAAGCTTTTGTCTGAGCTTAACTCACTAGACACCAGTCACGGAGCTCCCTGAGACAATCAAGGTAGAAGCCAACTTGTAGAAGCCAGGATTTGCTTCTCTAGACCGAGGTTTCTTGAGGGTCTAGGTTAGCTGCTTTTTCCAACCTGTCCCCTGTTCCTTTGCCTCTGGAGGAAGCCTAGGTTGGGTACTCACCAGTTAGTCAGGCAAGCATTCTTTGGCTCTTTTTCAAAATCACCAGTTCATTTGGTTCTGATGTTCATAACAGTTGGTGTTGGTATCAGATTCTTCCAGGTACCACTAAAGAAAAATAAGACAGTCCTCATGCTGGGTGAGTTTTACATTTGAAGGAAGTGAAGGTCCAGTGTGTACCTATGATAGGTATCTGTCATTGACAACCCTAAATCAAAAGGCCACGTTGGGCTGGTTTGGTTAGTTATGATTCTTACCCTTCTGTCTAGCTTTCAAGTAGGAATTCCCAAATGGTACTAGCAAAGAAAGGATGGATGCTTGTCTCCCCCCACCCCTTCCTCCGTCCTCCCTCATGAATCCTTGTTGCAGCTTAGACAAGGCACTCAAGTCTATTTTGCTCATCTTTTAAAATGGAGCTGATGCTCCTTGCCCTTTCTGTCTCACAAGGGTGCTTGCGGGGAACAAAGGAGGCAGTGTCTGTGACAGGCTTTGATAACCGTAAAGTGTTCTCTGAGGGTTGGTGTGCATCCTTGCAGTTCAGGCAGAGACAGGAATGAGAGAAGCGGAGGTACAGCGTGACAGACTGGCCTGGCGTGCCAGGATAGCCGTTCCCTGCAGCCCTTAGATTATGAGAAAGATAGGGCCCACCGAGGAGTACAGAACCCTGCTTTGAACTCAGTGCCTCTTAGTTCCTGCTGTCACTCTTCTTATTGAATGTGTGTGTTTGTCTTGTGTGTAGACACATTCATGTGTATAAATGCAGGTTCGTGCCACAGCAGAAGTGTGGGGGTCAGAGGACAACCTTGACTGTAGATCTTGACCCTCCACCTTGTTTGAGACACTCTCTTTGTTGTTTTCCTGCTACCTACGCTGGACGAGCTGGCGTGAAATTTTCTGTGGATTCTTCTGTATCCACCTCCCATCTTCCCACAGAGTGCTGGCTTTATAGGTGCTTGTGCTACAACTCCAGCTTTTGTCTGGGTTCTGGGGATTCAAACTCAGGTCCTCAGGCTTGTGTGGCAATTGCTTTTACCCACCGAGCCATGGCCCCAGCCCTCCTGTTCTCACTCTTAATTCCTGAGTGCGTCTTGGAGGTAGGCACTTGTATTCCAGTCATTTAGAGGACTTGTGTGAAGCAACGCAGTGGTCCTGCTTGCCAGAATCAGGACATGAAAGAAATTTGTCTGCTTTGGGAGGAGCCCTGGTTGTCAGTGTGCCTTGCAGTCTCTGACTGGGTGCTTTCTGCCTATTTCTGGGACATCCCTGGGAAGTGGGTGAGTAGGCAGAAAACACTGCCACCTTGAAGTAGTTCTGAGAGAGGTAGAGGTCCCAGGGTCCTGCCCCTCCTCACCATCTTTCCAGGACACTCAGATGGCCCCAGCCCACACAGAGGTAGCCCGCTGCTGGACCCTCACAGTCTTATGCTTCAGTCTGGTTGTTCTGTCTGGCGATGAATCTGCTAAAACGTTCTCCTGGAGAAGGTTTTGTCTCTCCCCAGGGCCTCCCTTCCTCCCTCTCGCCTTTCTTTCTCTCCCAGTCATCACCACCTGCTCCAGTTGCCCCCATGGCACTGGGCTTTGTAGTAGGAAGCAATGCAGGGGGGGAGGATTGGGGGGCGCTCCTGCGACACTAAAGCAGGGCATTGGCCAAGGGCTTCTTCCCACAGGGGCCCGGAGCCAGGGGGAAGAGGAGAGGGGGAGGGGTCCCCCTACTTGTTCTCACTCCTCCCCCTCCCAGGCAGCCTTCTTGCCTGCTCTAGTAGCCTGGTCTCCAGAAAGAAATGTGCCCTTTGGAGCCTGGCTTAGCTTAGCAAAAGCCTGGGTACATCACCCTGTGTCTTCAGTCCTGCCATTGTATTCTCCGTCTTCCTGGTGATAAAACAGTGCCATATCCTCATGGTTGATGCTTTCTTGCTAGGGCTTGTACTTCCACCCTTGTGCTGTAGAAACTGATCATGACCGCTTGTGATCTTCAGATTTACCAGAGGGCACTGATTCCCTGGACCTGCATAGTTTATCTGCTAGTGTTCCTTTCTTGACTTTATGTAACTTTCTAGGTAACTTTTCTGACTCCCCAGGGCTTTTTACATGGATAACTTGAATCAAGTCAACACATAATTGTGATTGATAATGTACCCAGCTCTGACTTCAGTACTGGAAGCAACAAAAGAGAAGGTGACAGTATGAACTGTGTCCCTGAGGAGCTAAAGAACTAGTCGGAGAGCTAGGTGTAGGGGGTAAAGAAAGATTGCTTGATCCCTGAGTTGGACGTCAGCTTAAACAATGTAGTGAGTGAGACACAGTCCTAAAGGACATTTAAAAAGAAAAAAGAAAAACAACCTTACTAGGGGGTGCAGACATCCCCTAAAAAACAGTAAGAAAATAAGGAAGTGAGGTGTCAGAATAGATGATTCTAAGTAGGCTCTGGATATGAAAACGTGATGCTCCGAGGGCTTTGAGTAAATATACGACGTGTTAGCCCCTTTGTGGCATAAAAGATCACTCTAAAACCTAGTGGCTTTACACAACAATAAGCATGTGTTGTCTCAGAGTTAGGCCGTGGTATGATGAAAGACAGGGAAAGCCTGTGAGGTTGGATAGGGGCAGGTTTATGCAATAAGAGTGAAGGCATTGAACAGTATGACGAGTCAGACTGCTGTCTCTTATGTTTCTTTGTTCTTATTACTTACAGACACGGCTTATCCAAACCCTCAATGACAAGTAGAGGAGGCATGCCAAGTGCTTTAGAGAAGCTGGGCTGTCTCTACCCAATTTTCAGTCCTCCTGCCATGCTGTGGCTTATGGGGCTGAGGATCTTATACTCTGAACATCCACCCACCAAGGAAATGTAGAAGCTTTGCTGATTTGGCAAATAACCTCACATGGCTAGTGACTAGCCTAGCCTTCACTCTCCAAGCTGACACTAGACTGGGCCGCTTGGTGTACTGTCAGTAAAGCACAGCATGAGTGCAGATGTAGTGAGGTGGCTTTGGCAGCCAGATGGCATGGCCATGATGAATCGGATATGTTGCCTAGTCTGACCAAGGACTTCATTTCTTCTTTCCAGAGCAAAGGTCGTTGGAGCCAGCAGAAGACACGATCTTGTAAATCTCCTACTCCAGTGAAGCCCACAGAACCATGTACACCCTCCAAGTACCGAAGTGCTGGCCCAGAAGAGGCCTCAGAGTCACCCACTGCCCGACAGATCCCCCCAGAGGCACGGAGACTCATCGTGAACAAAAATGCTGGTGAGACGCTCCTGCAGCGAGCAGCTCGCCTGGGCTATAAGGTGAGTAAGCTCTCCCTGAGCAGGCAGGCAGTGACAGGATGACATTGGCCTGGACCTCAGGGAGCAGCTATGCCATTGGCTCCTTTGGGGCCTAAGTCTGACTGGTCTCCCTCTACTGTCGATATTGCCTCTGAGGCTGCTCTGCCCCTTGTCTTATCTCAGTATGTGGGAAGGTAAGCTCATTGAAAAGTCAACTCAGGATAAATGCAATCGAAATAGTACACAATAGCATCCGCTACATCCCTAGGCTAGGGAGGGGATTTGTTTTACCTTACCTATGTAGTGGCTTTTCCAACCAAGAGGAACATAGGGCGATTACTGTTCACACTTTAACTCCTGTGGTTTCTCCTCATTTTGGCTTTCATGTCGAAGGGGCAAGAGCATGTCCACTAAACAAAGCCAGAGCTAACCCCACTTCCTTATACGTGGGAAGGAGGGCAAACAAAGCAGTAGTCATATTAAGGACTTTGATGTAAGCCTATTCAGGTATGTCTTATTGCAAAGAAAAACCTAGAGTTAGCAATATTAAATGATATGGCAAGATGTGTATAGTGGATTACCCAGGTGGCAACCCCAACTCCTGGGAGGTAGAGGTAGGCAAATCAGCAGTTGAAAGCTAGCCTCAGCTACATAGTAAATTCAAAGCTAGCCTGGGCTACCTCTGACTATCTCAAAAAAAGAAAACAAGATAAATTGTGTTCAGTATCCTTTATGACAGTATTTTTGTCTGAGTTCAAACAAGTCTTTGGACTCCCAAGTGCTGAGGAATGGGAGGACTCCCCCATTTACCTTGATGAATTTATGTGAGGCTGAATATTGGTATACATTTACATCCCTTTCCACTTTTTGTTGACACACAGATATCCTTTAATATGTATCTTTGCCTTTCTCCATGATGATTTCTTCTGGATTTATTTGTGGATGTGGGTTTAACTACATTCCAGAGTTTGCCTTCTGTATTAGGCTTTCTGTACCTATAAGTGTACAGACTGCTGTGCAGCTTTCATGGTGCCCCATCAAGCAGCCAGTTTACCTTTCTTGAATATTTAGTGTGGATGTCTGCATGGCTATCAGGGAGACCTGAATATGCACTGATTCTCTGCGGAATCAACAAACAGGCGAACATTGGAGAAGCCAAGACCAGAGCTGGAACTTGGTCTGGAGAAGAGTGGGCATCTCTGTTAGTGAGAGTGTAGGAGGTCCATGTAAAGGCGGCAGGAGGCAACAGACACAGCTCCTGCTCACAGAGGCTTTCTCCACCTGAAAGTGTTGACAGCGGAACAATAGTGGGTTCCATGGTCTGGAAGCCAGTCATCCAAGGGCACTGCCCACCCCCCTCCCGGTTTATTCATAGCCTTGTCCTAGGCTAGCAGGAGTGCTTCAAGTCACTTGAGTTCCACCTCTGGTCCTGTCACCTTGTCGCCTCAGCCCCAGGAAGGTAGGCATGATCTGAGGCTGAGGGACAGAAGTGTATCGTGGGGCTAGAGATGTAGTTCAGATGCTGTGCCTAGCAAGCGCAAAGCCCTGGGCTCAATTCCCAGCACTGCATACACTGAGTGGAGTGCTCCATGCCTGGAACCCAAGTACTCAGGAGACAGAGACAGGAAAAGCTGAAATTCAAGGTCATCCTTGGCTACATAGGGAGTTTAAGGCCAGCCTGGAATACAGTGAGACTCTGTCTCAAAACAAGAAAACAAAACGGAGTTGTGCTTGGTGCAGTGACTGGAATGACCCTGTCAAGAACAGACCTCGCTGGGCCTTTAATCCCAGCACGCGGGAGGCAGAGGCAGGCGGATGTCTGAGTTCAAGGCCAGTCTGGGCTACAGAGTGAGTTTCAGGAAAGGCACAAAGCTACACAGAGAAACCCTGCCTTTAAAAAAGAATAGACCCCCCCCCCATCTGTGTCTTTTAAAGCTCAAAAGGTGAGTTCTGGGCGGCACCGAGGCCGCTCTGAGGACCTTACTCCAGTGATCACCACCTAGATGTCTTCCTTGTGCCAAGGGAACAGCTGGGGCCCTGGCCATGGAGGCTGAGGACTGACTTTGTTCACAGAAGATTTTGAAATGTGTCTTTTGTTCTCACATATAAAGGACAGGCTCTAGGACTTGTCAGACACTTGTGGAGTGGTGAGTCTAACAGGGAGGATTCCAAAAATTAGACTTCTCTTTGCTCACAGAGCTGTCCCCATCCCCACAGGACGTTGTTCTCTACTGCCTCCAGAAGCACAGTGAGGACGTGAATCACCGTGACAATGCGGGCTACACAGCCCTGCACGAGGCCTGTTCCCGGGGCTGGACTGATATCCTGAACATCCTGTTGCAACATGGGGCTAATGTGAACTGCAGCTCCCAGGACGGCACAAGGCAAGAAAGCTGCTCCTCTGCCACGTCTCAAAACGCAGTTCAGTCCTTCACTGCGGAGGGCTTACTCCAGCTGGGGTACTTGCAGCATATCCAGCTGCTGGTGTCAAAAAGGCCTTTCCAGGAAGCCTTTGAAAGGATTTCTGTGGGCTGAAGGGAGCCAGCTTAGAGCAGGAGCTGATGAGTTCCTCGGTGGTCAGTCCATACTGGACTAAGGGAAGGCTGAACTTGTCCAGGCTTCATCCTGTCCCATGCCAGGTCCATTCAACCTTCCTGAATATTGTCCTGGTGGGCCACTTGTCTCATGTGGAATTGATGCCTTGGGATCAAAGCAGGAAGCTAATCTTGTAGTGACATTCCAGATTTGGTTTTTGTAATTTGGTCTCTGTACACTTAAAAAAATGAGCTACCTGGGTCTGTGAGGTTAGCCTGGTATGTTAAGGCACTTGCCACCAAGCCTGACAGTCTTGGCTTCCCCGTGATGGAAGGAGACAGCTGATTCCTGCAAGTTGTCTTCTGACTTCCACACACATATATTATTGCATATATTCATGCATACGCGCACACACACAATAAATAAACAAGTAAATGCAATGGCATATTAATGCACACACATACACAAACATAAACACTCACTATGTTTTGGAGAAGTTACACCCACTCTCCTCAGAGGACCTGCTTCAGAAAGGTTCCAAAGGATGCTGCATTCCAAGTAGAAGGACCCAGATCAAAATGTATAGGCTCTGCTTGGCTGCTACCTGGTATGGAGCCTCCCTACACATCCCTGCCCTTGAGCAGTCATCTGGGTCCTTCTTAAACAACCACCCACATCTGCTTTCGTTTTAGCTTCCACCTTGTTCTCTGCTGAAGTAGTAGTAGATCTAAACCGTGCTCTAGATACTGTCTGCAGATGCAGGGGAACATAAAGGAGAGGCAGATATGGGAGAGAAGAAAAAGAGATACAGAGAAGATAAAGACATGGCTAGATAGGATAAGAGTTGCAGGCCAGGAGTGACTTCTCTTCCCTGAATCTTACCCACATTGCATTGAGGATATCCTGAGGTCACCACAGTATCATCTCCCCTCCCCCTAATTGGGTAGGCTGAAGCCTAACCCCCCCGCCCTTGAGTACTGTCTCACTGACTCTATATGACCTCCACAGGCCAGTTCATGATGCTGTGGTCAATGACAACCTGGAGACCATCTGGCTCTTGCTATCCTATGGAGCTGATCCCACACTGGCTACCTACTCGGGTCAGACAGCCATGAAGCTGGCCAGCAGTGATAACATGAAGCGCTTTCTCAGTGGTAAGCATGGACCAGAATTACATCCAGAATCATCAGGGTTGGCCTTGGACTCCTCAACCTGTGGTCGTGGTGGTAGTGGTGGGGCTCTTCAATAACTCTGTCCTAGACAGCCCCCATGAGGGGTGTCCTCCCTCCTCACATATTCCTTCAGTGTCTTAGGAATCTCTAGTTACTTTTAAAAGCCCCCTGCTGTGAGTGTCCACATAACTACCTCTATTAGGCCCTAACCTCCCACAGGGACTCATTTCACCACTAGGTGTCTGGAGCAGGCCTCCTGGTGGGAGGTTGGCTATATACTCTTAGCTGGGGGCAAGATACATTGACCTGTGCTATGAATGGAATGTCATTGGTAGAGAACAGATAATCCCCATTTTGCTGTTTCTGCAATCTCTCCTTGATTGTGATTAAAGAGGTACTTCTGAGACCCTTTCTGAAGCTTTATTCCTCATGGCCCTTTTCCCATGGTAACTTTGATATTTCCTATGCATTCCAATATTCCCCTTCTCTCCATTCCCTCTCTCTTCCCCACCCTCCATCTTCTAGGGAAGCGTCATGTTCAGGCCCATAATCAGGCGCAGAAGCCACCAACCACATCGATACTTTTCTCTCGTGGGTAGCACTGTGTGTCTGCAGGTAGGCAGGTTACTCTGACTGAGTTGGTCAGGTGGGATGGAGGAAGGAAAGAGGGGAATCTAGCTTGAGTATGCTCAGCGTCAGTCCCTTCTGACTTTATCGCAGGAACCTTTAACTTTTTGTGACGACGTGGCTTAGTCCTTGAGCTTGCCTGAGTGGTGGGTGCTGCAGCTATGACCCTCCTCACAGGCTTCAGCTGTGCTAGAACAGTCTGTTCCCTCCTCTCACCTAAGCTTTGGCCCCATTAGTCACCAACTGTCCCTGCAAAGGATGCAGTATTCGGTTCCCAGGTAGGAAGTCATGCTTACTTAAGAAAGGTTCACTGAGTAGCTGTTAATGGAGGAACTAAGAGAACCTGTACTAAAGGTTCCCACGGAAGGGGAAAGAGACGGGGAATACTACCTTTATATTGTAGAGGCTACAGGGAGGCAAGGGGATGGATGACAGGTTACCTAGGGAGGTTTTGACTTGAGCTCAGCCAACCTCCAGGCTTCCAGCCTGACTGACCTTGGGTGGGGGACTGGAGGCTTCCTTTTCCAGTTCTTTCCCCCAGCCACTTAGGGATTTCTTTTCATTAATCACTTAACTTGGACCGATGATGACTGGTACTCACTTTAGCAGAGCCACCCTGAGGGTACAGCGTCTGTAGCATCCTCCCACCTGCTCACTCTGTCTTAGATGAACTCTGGATTCCCAGGACCATGTACACACTAACATCTAGAGTATGCCAGTATAATGAAGGCATTTCATGAAGCTTTGTATTTCATAACTTGTCTAATGGGAGGGGAACTCTCTGGCTAGAAAGTACCCTCAGCAAAGTAGAAGTCAAGTAAATTAATACTTCTGGCTACTTTATTGAGTAAATGAACTCTCTTTTCATTCCTGACCTCTTCTCTAAAACTCCAAAGGAGTTTAAATGTTGACACTTTTTTTTGGAGACAGGGTATATGCAGTCGTGGCTGTCTTGGAACTTGCTATGTAGACCAGACTGGCAGAAATCCACCTGCCTCTGCCTAGGATTAAAGGCATGCACCCCGACACCTGATTGACACTATTTTTATTGGCTAAAAATGAGAAATAAGCAGTTCTTCTCCTATATTTCTATAAACTCATACCAATCTCCTAGGTATTCTTTTTAAAAGACTTTGAGCCAAGGTCTCACTATGTGGCTCTGATTGGCCTGAAACTTGCTATGTACACCAGGCAAGCCTCAAACTCAGAGATAGGAAGCTTTCTCTTAAATAACATCTACCTGCCTTTGCCTCCTGAATGCTGGCATTAAAGGTGTGTGCCACCACACTCAGCTAAAAAGATTTTTAAAACGTGTGTGTGGGGGTGCATGCATGAATGAATGCCACAGCCTACATGTGGAGGTGGGTGGACAACTTTTAGGAGCTCAAAGTTAGGTCACCAGGCTCGTGCAGCAAGCACTTCTAGCCACTGTGACATCTCACTGACATATAGCTAGCCTTTTGACACCCCCTTTCCTAACTAAAGTACTCGTTCGTGTTGTAGAATCCAGAGGAGACTTTCCTAAACTCCAGTACTCTTGCCTATCTGGGCTTCTTTATTCAGGTCTCGTCACATGTTTCTCAATTCATGGGTAGGGAGGTCATGCTCCAAGGAGTGTTAATAGACTGGAGCAACACTTCTCCATGTAAGGGCAGAGCTCTTGTTTAGGGAAAGTTCTAGCAACCTAGACTCAGACCTTGACATGATCCTCCAGTGGAGGCAGGCATTTGTAGGAGCCAGCAGGCCCCCCAGGCGGAGAGGACTTAGACCCCATAGCTCTTTTGATGAGGAGTGGCTGAACAGGTGATAAATAGCACTTTTTTAAAAATGAAGGTGAGATAGCTGTGTGTGTGTCACACACCTGAAGTTGAGCACTGGCCAGAGGCAGGAGGCTAAGGTAGGAAGATTGCTGGGCTCGTGAAGCTGTCCTGGGTTACACAGTGAGTTCCAGGCCAGCATGTACTACTTACATGAGCAACAAGACCCTTGTCTGTCAAAAGGCAATGGAATTCATCTAATATAACAAAGTTCAAGTGACTAATTCAGTGACATTGAGTGCATTCATGATGGGGACTCTGGATGCCTCAAACTGAGCAGTCCCTCTCTTCTGTTTCATCCCTGGATACTACCTCACTGCTTCCTCAGGAACCACAGGGTAGGGTGATGTTCATAAGGTGGGAGAGTAGGGAAGCACTCCTCCAATGCTAGACCTTATATCTAGATGCATATGCATGGAATTTGGACATGTTTATTTATTTGGGCCTTTTGAGATGGAGGTTGTTTTGTTTTTGTGTTTTCAATTTCCACTCACCTGTCTGGCTACAACCTTTAAAAGTGCTCTCCTTTTCATCTTCAAGCACTTGCTTGGCCAGGTGCTCCAGAGATGAATTGTCTCATCCTCCCCTAGCAGAAGCAGAAAATGAAGCAAACCCATGTAGGATGCTCGGGGCTCCATTTTCTGTGGTCATCTGACTTGTACTTCATGCACAGCTTTTCTCACTATGCAAGGCTCCTCCAGTTCTGAATGGTTTCCTGTGACTGAACTCTTCTAAGTCCCCAAAGGAACGTCACTATTTATAGTGTTCCTTTAAGTAAAGGAGAGGGGACTGACTTGGTTATAAATGTGGACTTCCTTAAGTTGGGTTGACTCCAGCCAAGGCCCATTTCTCCTGAGCTCATGAAGGGTAGTGTAGCACTACTTCTTTTCTTCTTCCGCCCATCCATTTACTGAGCTTCTGTTAGCTTCTGGATGCTAAAAGCCAGATAGTAAACCCTTTCTTCCTTGTAGGACTTGGAGCATGGAGCTGTCCAAACCCCCAGGAGATCTTTGAAAGGCTTCCCCCTTGCGCCAAATTATAGGCCTGTTACTCATTTACCTTTGACCCTTTGGAAAAATGAGCAGCATCCAATCTGGCTGAGAAGGAAAACAGATCCCATTTTTCCTCCTCTGTGGGGAAGAACACAGATTGGCGGGAACTGTGCAGTTTGGGTTGAGGCATTAGAAAAAGTATGGGACTTCTTTGCCTTTCACTGATGAAAGGGTTAGCCTTTGACCATTCAAGGTCACTGAAGCACAGATTTTTGTTTTTCCTGCCAGAGACCTCTGTGGTATGACCCCATGTCGAAGACATCTCATTTCTTAGTTTTTCTCCTTTCATGTCCTCAGCTGGTGACTGAGCTGGCCGGGAGGGGTGTGAAAGGATGCTAGGCTCTAGAGAAACTACTGGCTGCCACTCCATACATGGCAACAAGGGATGTGTACCTAACAGTGAGGGAGGGACTGAGGGTGCTTTCAATCAAAAGGCATTGAGGTAAGATTCATGCCACATAAAAGTAATGATCACACAGTGATCGGTTCAGTGGCTTTAGTTCATTTATAGCATTCTCCAGCCACTACTTCTGTCTAGTTCTGAACCGTTATCATCATCCTAAATAGAACTTTGGACCAGCTAAGTATTTGTTTCCCATCATCTCTTCTTCTCTGCTCCTAACACTTAGCACTCTGCAGTCTTGTCTCTGGATTTACCTATTGAGACTTCATATACATGGAACCCTACAGTCTGAGGCTTCTGTGTCTGGCATAATCATGTAGCATATTTCAGTACTACACTCCTCTTTAAAATTCATAAACCCTCTCTGTGTGTGGGGGGGGTCAGAGGATAAGTTGTGGGAATTGAGTCTGTCCTTTCACCATGTGGGGCCCTGGGTTTGAACTCAGATCATTAGGCTTGAGGTACCTTTTACCCATTGAGTCATCTATCTGGCCCAATTTTTTTTTTAATTTATCTATTTTATGTGCATTGGTGTCGGGTCCCCTGGAACTGGAGTACAGACAGCTGTGAGCTGCCATGTGGGTGCTGGGAATTGAAGCTGGGTCCTTATCCAGTCAGTGCTCTTATCCCCTGAGCCATCTCTCAAACCCTACATTCTTTTTTTATGCCTGACTAATAACATGCCATTGTGTGTGTATATATGCCATTTATATTACCTGCTTATTCACGCATAGCCATTTGCACAGTGTCCATCTTGTAGCTTGTCAGTGGTGCAGTTTTGATCATACATGCACAAATACTTGTTACTCTTTGTCAGTTATGTTGCATGTGTACCTAGAAGAGAAATGGGAGCCGGGCGGTAGTGGCGCACGCCTTTAATCCCAGCACTCGGGAGGCAGAGCCAGGTGGATCTCTGTGAGTTCGAGGCCAGCCTGGGCTACCAAGTGAGTTCCAGGAAAGGTGCAAAGCTACACAGAGAAACCCTGTCTCGAAAAACCAAAAAGAGAGAGAGAGAGAGAGAGAGAGAGAGAGAGAGAGAGAGAGAGAGAAATGGGTAGGCCCGGGGCACTTTCTCACACAAAGGATAAGATCTTGAAAGTTTGGTGGGGGTGGAAGAAGAATAAGAAAAAAAAAGAAGGCCACTCATTTTGATGATAGTCACATCTGAGGAGTGTGCATCAAAGCTACACCAAGTGACTCCTCCCCTGTGTCTGCCACTCACAGGCCTGTTCCAACTTCAGCATCTTGCCTCATGCCAGTTAACTTTGGGCTATCTCAAAAAGGCAAGTTCACCTGTGCAAGACAAAGCTTTGCAGGCAGTGGAGAGAATTAGAGGAATGTGCCGTGGGCTCTGAAGGCAGTTCCTAGTGAGGAGCCCCAGGAATGTGAACTGAGCCTGTTCTCATGGAATCCTTGTGTGACGTGGGGGTAGGGGAACAGGGGCAGCAGAGTGCTTGCTTATGTTTTGGCGTGCTGCTTAAGCACTTTGGTGTCTCACTTTATAATAATTCTCTCCTTTTCCCTTCTTCCTCCTCTCCCTCCTTCCCTAGTCTGTTAAGTGTTTCCTAGGTACCAGGCCCTGGACTTGCAGCACAGGAGATACAATAGTGAAGAAAATAGACCTGGTTCCTCCCTTTTTAAAAACAAGGGCCTCCTTTCCTTTATTTCCCATGAGACAAAGCACAGGACTAGGCTCATTCTAGATAGACATGGACCCAGCAGACGCTTCTGGAAGGAAGTCCTGTCTCGGGTAGTACAGTGTATAGAAGAGTGGGGTCTGTCAGCTGGGCCTCAGGTTTGATATGTCGTGTGCAGAGGTCCAATCTACACAACTTCGTTCCCCCACTCTGCTACTTTCCCTGGTGCCTTTCCAATGGGAGCAGCTCTCCATGTCCCAGGAGATGGCTAAGAAAGGAGTGCCTTCGGTAACTTGCATGAACAGATAGTTCTTGGCCCGGAACAGAGGCAGTGTATGCTAGTGGTACTTTTCAGTGGAGGAAACAAGCTGCACTCCTTGGGGAAAGAATTGCCAACTTCCTCCTGGGATTGGCTTTGCAGGCGGTCACCCTTACCTCCTTGTGTTCTTTGGACTCTTCTTTCCTGTTGCCTAGGTGCTACTTGAGAGCTGGTGGCAGTCACCCACAGCTTAGTCAGCCTGCTAATTGTACTATTTGGCACACTGGCAACTTCCGAACTGTGCACTGGCAGACAGCACACTGAATTTTGTCAGGAAAGCCAGTAGGTCTGCTTTGTATCTGCGTGGGAATACGAGGTGAACCTGTTCACTAACTGATGCCTAGCTAGGAAACAAGGAGGCTGAGGGTGACCTGGGGTCCATCTTGAGAGCAAGGAAACAAAAGGTAGGTTTTTAAGTTCGAGTTTTTTTCCTGAGACAGGGTTTCTCTGTGTAGTTTTGGTGCCTGTCCTGGATCTTGCTGTATAGACCAGGCTGGCCCCGAACTCGCAGAGATCTGCCTGGCTCTGCCTCCCGAGTGCTGGGATTAAAGGCATGTGCCACTGTCACCCCGCGGTTTTTAAGTTTTAATTGTGGTAGTACATACATAGAAGATCTTCAACTTTAACCACTTTAGACAATCAAGTGATGGGATGGTGTCAATTCACAGTGTGGTGTTACTATCACCATATCTGGTTTCAGAACGTTTTTTATCATCACGGAGGGAAACCCCAGCTCTATTCTCAGCACTGCCCTCCCCCAACACTGACATACTCAATCTGCTTTCTGTCTGGTTTTTTTTTAAACAGGGTTTCTTTGTGTAACAGGTCTGGTTGCCTTGGAACTTACTCTGTAGACCAGGCTGGCCTTGAACTCAGAGATCTCCCTGCCTCTGCCTCCCAAGCACTAGGATTAAAGAAAGGCATGTGCCACCACTTCTTGGCCTTAAAAATGGGAAGGTTTTCCATGATTTTTTGTTTTTAAATTTTTTTCTGCTTTCTGTCTTACTAGCCTTGCCTAGTCTAGACCTTTTCTTGAGATGGAATTATATAATATGTGGTCTTTGTAACTAATTCTTACACTTAGCATCATGTTTTTAAGATTTGTCCATGTGGCATTGGTACTCTGTCCTTTTATATGGCCTTTTGTGTCTGGCTTCTTTTAGTTACTATCAATGTTCCTTTTTATGGTTTAGTAATATTCTTCTTTATCCATTCATTGGGCTTTTGGGCTGTTTCCAGCTTTTGACCATCGTGAATAGAGCCATGTCCATTCATGAGCATAAAAATTGTGTTTGTACATCTGTCTTCAGGTTTTTTTTTCATGTGTAAGTATATGTGTCACCCTATGTGTGTAAAAGTCAGTGGACAAATTATGGGGTGTTGGTGCTCTCCTTGCACCTCGGAAAGCAGAATCTGGTTTTGTTGCTCTGTACTCCAGCCTGGCTCATCTGTGAGCTTTCCGTTGATTCTCCTGTCTCCACTGTGGGCCTTGTCATTGGAGTTCTGGGACTATAAATGCTTACTACCTCAGCCAGGTTTTTCCATGCCTTCCAGTGAGCAAACTCATGTCACCAGGCTTGTACAGCAAGCACTGTTAACCTGCAGGGCCATTCTCTAGCACCTTGTCTTGAGCTCTTTTGGGTAGAAGCAAAGGGGGTTTGCTTTGATTTTGTTGAGACAGGGTTTCTTGTAGGTGGCCCAGGCTAACCTCAAATTTGATTCTCTTGCCTCAGCCTTCTGAGTAGTAGGGATAACATATGTGTGTGCTGCCATGCCTAGCTTTACTTTTATGTGTGGTTTTTTTTTTGAGCTGTAAATTAAACTTAGAGTCTTTCACATGCTAAGCATACATTCTACCACCGAGCTCTACCCGTAGCTGCTTACCTTACTTTAAAGAAGATAGATCACGATTGGGCATATTAATACTGCGATAGGCGTGGGATTCTGCTTGTAGAGGAATGTCCTGTGCCTTTTGAAGCTGAGGTCCTCAAGCTGCATGCCTTCCGGCTGATGTGTCAAACAGAGAGGAGGCCCAGTGGGGACTGGAGACTGGACATGTCCCAGCTTCTTCCAGCCACCTGTTGACATACAGGAATGTAGAGGCAATACTGCCAGAGCTTTGGATTTTTATCTATTTTCTTCAATAAAAAGTTGGGAATCTAATTTTAAGTGAAATCTCCCTGTTTTCAAATACTGGAGGCTGTTTTGTTTTGTTTTGTTTCTTTCCGTATGTCGGTGGGCTTACATGGGGCTTCTGCCTGCCTGCTTGCAGTCTGTTGTGAGCAGGAAGTGGACTTCTTTCCTGTCACCCCTGGCCCCTCTTGTGACTCCCCCCCCCACTTCCCCTCTCCCCAATCCCACAAGGATAATCCTCCAGATTTCCTCCTTGTCTCACACCTTCTCTTCCTTCCTCAGATCACCTCTCGGATCTTCAGGGCAGGGCAGAAGGCGATCCTCGCGCATCCTGGGATTTTTACAGCAGTTCTGTGTTGGGTAAGCTCTAAGTGGGAAGAATCACGGGGCACTGGGTATGGGTCACCAGCACTTCTGGGAGGTAGGAGTCCCACTGTGGAGGCAGCCCTTCCTCACCTGGTTAGGCCCTTTTAGCCCTTCCCCTCAGACTCCAGTCACTAATATGAAGCCTGAGATGCCACAAGGATTTGCATAAAATCATCCTCCCCGGCCTTCTCCCACTTCCCACCCTGGGTGCTGTGTAAACCCTGGTGTTAACCTCTTTGGATAGTGCTCACACTGTAGAAATGTGGCAACTTTTATTCCCCCGCACTATGCCCCTGTGATGGCAGCCCTTGTGTTTGTTTTATTTTCTTCTCTGGGTTTGGTTTTGTTTTCTTTTATTTGTTTTTGAGACAGGGTGTTACCATGTAACTCTAGCTGGCCTGGAACTCAGAGATCCTTCTGCCTCTGCCTTCCAAGAACAGGGAAAAAAGAGGAGAGCAGGGATTAAAGGTGTGGGCCACCACACAGGGCTCAGCCCTTGATGTTGAGATTGCTGGTGTCCTGAGCCCTTAACCCTCTGGCCCAAACATCACGCAGCAGGACGATCAGCACACCTTTGTCTGTGATCATCCAGCATTTGTCTAATATGAGCCAGGGACTGAAGATTAAGAGCAGGTTGGGCTGAAATGCTGTGTGCCACACCCAAGTGACTGGTTGGGGAAAGGAACCTTCTGAGTCTTCCCAGTTCTTGAGGATCAGGCAGTGAGATGGCTTAGGGGGGCTGTAGCCAGAGGATGGGTGTTTTGCTTTACTGTAGTCCTTGATTAGTTAGTATCTTCTGTCTTCCATCTGAAGAGCTGAGCTGTCATCTTTTCAGAGTACTTTGCTTTTTCCAAGCAGAGGGTGGAGAAGGGTAATGGACTTCTGGCCACAGCACATTTCCTTCCAAGAACAGAACTTTCATGTGCCCCCTCAAGGATGTGGGCCCATAGTCAATCCAGCCAGGACTTGTGGCCTTGCATTTATCTCCTAAACAGCCTCTTTGTATCCCTTTGTCTGGCTGGAGCTTTTCCTCCCTTCAGTTTTGTGCTTATAGCTGATCCCCTGGCTGCTCACTTTACAGAGAAAAAGGACGGGTTTGCCTGTGACCTCCTCCATAACCCTCCTGGGAGTACCGAGCAAGGAGACGATTCAGAACAGGATGACTTCATGTTCGAACTCTCAGACAAGCCTCTTCTCCCTTGTTACAACCTCCAAGTGTCAGTGTCCCGTGGGTAAGTGTCTGAGAAGTCTACAGGGACTGTGTCACAGTGTCCTGGCAACCCCTGGCCCGCCTCCCAGGGAAGGAAGAGCTCTATGAAGGAGGCAAATGCAGCCTGGGGAATGAGTGCTGGAGCAGAGGAAAGATGCCCTGCTCCTCCAGACCAGATGGAGTGGAATTTACATCTAAACTCAGGGTTCACAGATCTCTAGAGCTATACTTTGACTATCAACTCACATTTCCAGGCCCCCAAATCTGAAGAATTTTGTGCGCTGTTACTATGTGTAGGCGATAATCTGGGAAATATTTGGGATGATGAACTATTAGAATCTCTGGAACATTTTTGTGGTTTCTGGGAATAGCTAGACAAAATATTTGCAACTGAGATTCTTGGAAAAGCCAAGGCATATGGTTGCCATAGCTCTGGATCCACTAGGATCCTTAAGCAATCCACAGCACAGGCTCTCATAGCCTTAAAACCAACAAGGTGATCAGCACTGCTGGTTCAGGTGACTGTGCCTACTACAGAGGAGCCCCATCCTTTGGAGACTAGAGTATAACCTGACACCTGGTATTAGACTGAGCCCAACTGAGTCTTTGTTGATTCCGAATTGACTGAATTCTGACTCAAGGAGTTTGTCAGCCTTCAGGACCATGGATTTTTGATACGTTCTCCAGTGCATCGGCATGTGGAAGTGCTCCGTAGGTGAATAAGAATACTGGCTCAGGACACTGGAGAGAGAGATGGCTCAGCCGTCCGGCGCACTTGGGCCCAGATTTGAATCCCAGCGCCCACATGACAGCTCACAACCATCTATAACTCCACTTCCAAGGGATCCAATGCCCACTTCTGGCCTCCACAGACACCAGTCACATACGTGGTGCATATGCATGCATGCAGGAAAACCCTCATGATATAAAATAAATACATTTTTAAAATGCAGGATCAGCTGCCCTTTTGTTCTTAGCCTCCTTGTTCTTCTGGGCAGCAGCTGATCCCAGGGTAGGGACTGGGCCTCTGGGATATAGTGTTGCACAGTTAATTAATTCCTCCAAAGTATTCAGCACCTCCTTCTCTGAAACAGGATCTTAGGCCACAGGCAGTAAAAGGACCAGAGTAGTTTGCTTTAGATACAGACCGAACATGGACAACCAAGGGCCACATGCCACCCCATAAGCCAGGGGGTTTGGGTGATTTGCCTGCAGAGGCCAGAAGAGGACGTTGGATTTCCTAGAACTGGAGTTATACAGTTGGAGTCTGTACAGTTGTGAACTGAGTCACGTGTGGTGGGAATTGAACCCAGGTCTCCTGGAAGAGCAAATAGTGTTCTTAACCATTGAACCATCTCTCCGGCCCTTTTATCTTCATTCTTTGAAAAAGATTGTTGAAGTATATGGTATTGATTGTCACTTTCTCTTCTTAGCTTAGAGCACTCCATTCTCTAATTTTATAATGTGACAGACTTTGCTATCATGTATGTGGAAGAAATGTTGGATTTTAGGGGAAAGGACTATGAGTCTAAATAGGTGAGGGTGGGTTTTTTTTTTGTTTTGTTTTTGATGCAGGGTCTCTATGTAGCTCTGGCTAGCCTAGAATTCACTAGGTAGCCCAGGCTGACCTCAGTCTACCTGCCTCAGTCTCCCAAGTGCTAGAATTAAAGACTTGAGCCACCATGCCCAGCTAGATAGGTGTTTTAAATACTGTGTAGAGTGATTGATTTCGTAACCATGTTTTATGCAGTGGATCAAACCTTGAGATCCACAGCACAGACAATTCTAGCCTTTGAAAAACTCAGCCGAGTGTAGTAGACAGGTAAGTATGCAATTTACTTTAATAAAAGACTAAATGTTCTAAGCAGGCTTATTATTGTAAAAAGAATGTCAAGTGAGAAATAAAAAGTCAAGTCCATCTTGAGCTCTATTCTTAGGCACCAGAGAAGACCACAGTTTATGTTGATTTTGTAGCCTGTTCGAAATATCATACTAGGGCTGAGAACCAAGTGTCCTGAGGCCATAGAAAGAAGATGGACTGAACACGGAGTTTCTTTGAGGTCTTGTAGGTTTGAAATGGCATCTGAGCTGGGCTAAAGAAGGACAGGTATAGGGAGGGACGGCCTGGGCAAAGGCACTGCAACAGAAAGCACAAGCCAGACGTGATGCCGGCGCACACCTTTAACTCCAGTGCTCAGGGGGCAGAGGCAGGCCGAGCTCTATGAGTTTGAGGCCAGCCTGGGCTACAGAGCGATTCACAGGTGATCTAAAGTTATATAACGAGGTCCGCTGTCTCTTAAAAAAGGGGAGCTAGAGAGATGGCTCAGAGGTTAAGAGCAGTGGCTTCTAGGACCTGTGTTCAGCCCCTGGCACCTCCATGGTAGCTCACAATTGTCTGTAACTCCAGTTCCAGGAGAGCTAAAACCCTCTTCTGCAGGCACCGGGTGTGTACATAAAGCACAGACATATATCAGACAAAACATCCATAAACATAACATTTTTAAAAATGACCTGGTAGGACAGGGGTCAGCATGGTGAGTGTACGTGGGGGAGTTGGAGACTGAGTTGAAGAGGTTGAACTGGGGTCATCTTTGGACAGTCTGTCTTAATATCATGCTAAAGAATTAGAACTTGCTGGATGACCTGGAACTTACTTTGTAGACCATGCTGGACTCAGATTCACACAGATTTTCCTGCCTCGGCTTTCCAAGGGCTGAGATTAAAAGGCATGTGCCACCTATCTGACTACTATTTTATTTTTAATTATGTGTGTATGTGTGAAGTCACATGTGGGTATGTGCACATGAGCGTAGGTACCCAAGAAGGCCAGAGGTGTCAGATCTGGAGTTGCAGTTATGAACCACCTGATGTGGGTGCTGGCAATTGAATTTGAGTTCTCTAGAAGATATGATGAGGGTATACTCTCAACCACTGACACCCAAGTTGGTATTTTTTTTTTGCTGGAAGCACAGAAGAGCCATTGAAGGCTAGTCAGTGAGAGAATGGAGGATCAGATTTTCATTTTTGAAAACAGGATTCGAGGGACTCTGAGAAACCTTTACCTATGTTCTTGGGTATGTCTTACTTTCTGCTCAGCACCTCTTTTTTTTTTTTTTTTAACCTTTGCACTTAAGCCTGTATTAAAATAGCTTTAGTAGTCCCCTCCCCCTTCAAGAGAAAGGATTCAACAGGGACAGATGGAGCAAGTGTAAGGCTGGTGCAGTGTCGCACAGCCCGGAAGTGGCAAAGGCTGGAGCCGAGAGAGGAGAGAGGAGAGTGGCTGTGAGGAAGAACTGTAAACTGGGACCACTAACTCGGAGAGAATGGAAGTCCATGGAAGTGCTTGGCTGGTGACCGGCCTCGCAGCACCCCTCCCAGCTAGCTGAGGCTGCGGCCCGCCCACTCCATGTGCTCCACAAGGGCAGACTGGCTGTAATGTGAGCCCCGGGCCTGCAGAAACGCTGCTGCTGCTGCTGCTGCTGCTGCTGCTGCTGCTGCTGCTGCTGCTGCACTGGAGGAAAAAAGTTGTCTAATGCATTCCAGAGCCAAAGAGAAATGCCTTTTGGATTACCCGCAGTTGAGGCCTTTCTCCACGCTCCACCTCCATGAGGGAAGATCTAGGAGGAAGAGTGGAGTGAGCAAGAGCTACGGCAGGAGACAGAAGCCAGGCAGGGTTGCCTGGAGTCGGTCAGGAACAAGTGGTCCCAGCAGATAGGAAAGGCCAGGCCATGGGGTAGCAGGCTAAGGCCCCAGGGAAAGCAAGCCCCAAGAGAGCTGTTTCCCCAGGCTTGCCCTTTATGGAAGAGCTAGCCCATGGGGTGAGTGAGTACTCAAGGATGTTCAGCTAGAAGCTGGGGCGGGTAGTGTGTTGTCCCAGCCTCATGCCAGAAACCTTGTGCTTTCCTGGGAGGTAGCAGTGAGTCTCAGAAGTATGGGAGTGGGGGTCACTTGGCCCCCTGGCCTTCTACGGTGCTTCTGGGGCCCCCACCCTTCCTCCTGAGCCTGTTTCCCTAACTCCATCTTTCTCTCAACAGACCCTGCAACTGGTTCCTCTTCACCGATGTCCTGAAGAGGCTGAAGCTCTCCTCAAGAATCTTCCAGGCCCGGTTCCCGCACCTTGAAATCACCACCCTGCCCAAGGCCGAGTTCTACCGGCAGGTGGCCTCAAGTCAGCTGCTGACCCCCGCTGAGAGGCCTGGGAGCTTGGAGGACAGATCTCCCCCAGGCTCTTCTGAGACTGTGGAGCTGGTGCAGTATGAGCCAGAGCTGCTGCGGCTCCTAGGGTCTGAGGTGGAATACCAGTCTTGGAGCAGTTGACGGAAACAGCCCCTCCCCCGTTCTTCTTTCTTCTCCGAGTTCACCCTTCCCCCACCGCCCGTGTCTCCCCCACCAAGCACCAGACTGCAGAATGAGGCAATAATACGGACCAACAAGAAGCCGCCTTATCAATGCCAGCATTAGTGACTGGATTTTTGTTTTGTTTTGTTGTTTTGGGTTACAGTTAGTTCTCATCTCCCTGTTGTTGTGGTTGGTGATGGGGGTGGAAAGTTGAACTCCACTTCTGAAGACAAGAGGTCTGGAGATGGTGGAAGGTGGCACCAGGGTCCCTTGGACTGGCTTCTATGCTTATGACCAAGACCAAACATGGACCTGGGTGGCTGTGGCCCGTCCTAAGGAGAAATGAGAAAAGCCCAAATCTCTCGAGTGCCCCTCCCTGTCTCCCTGTTCTCTTCTGTCTTCCATAGTATTTATTTTATTAGTATTTAATTTGTATTGTTTCATTGGTTTCTGATAAGTCTGTATCACTGTGACGATTTGAGACAACTTGTTGTATTGAGGGACTTTCTTTACCTCCTTTCCTTTTTCTTTCTGGATAAGCTTTGGGGATGCCCCCTCCCTCTAAGAAAACTAGTCCCAGCTCGTCTTTCCCCAGTCGGGGGAGGGAGCAGGGTGAGGAAGGCTAGGGGGACATCATCATATGACTAAACATCCTGGCTGCTGCTGGCCCAGAGCTGGGGGGCTGGGGGCAAATCCCTGGCCTTTGGTGCTCCCCCACCCCCTGCCAGTCTTGGCCCACGCCCTGCCCTTTGTAGCAGCTCTGCCATCTCGGGATTAGTGTTTACTGAGGAGAGGGGTTCCTGAGTTACCTAATAAAGGCAGGGTGAGAATGGGCCCCAGGGGTGAGGGTGCTTCCCTCACACTGCTCTGCTCGCTCGCTCACAGTGCACAGGGTGAAGCTGTCCTGGCATCTTCTGCCCTGTACCCAGCCCCTCCTTGCCTCACCCTGCCTACCCTGGGCTCCCTCCCCATCTTGAGATACTGAGCCTTTTCACCTCCCAGCCTTTGCCCTGCCATCCCTACCGCAGACTTCCGGCCCCCTTTCCCCGGCTCTCCTCCTCTGGAGTCCGCAAAGGGCCCTGGGACTGACTAGGCAAGGGCAGAGACTAGTCTCTAGTCCGGCTCCACACCCACTTGGGGACTTGGAGCTGAGTGAGTGGCGCAGGGGCCTCAGAAGCCTAAGTGTTAGATCTGTTCTAGGAGAGTCGGGGGAGGAGGGGCTTGGGTTCTTTCCATGGCCCCACCCCTCCATACCATCGTCTTTCCCACTCTTCTTATTTTTCTACCGATTGCTATTTTTCCGAACAATCCTTGTAGAGTATGTACCATCGAAAGGCAGGAGGGCCTTGCTGTGGTTGGCTCTGGATGGAGATGGTACAGTTTTATTGTACAGGTGCTAAACAACAACAAAAGAAGAAAATGGAAAAAAAGACAAAAAAGGAAAAAAAAAAGCCAGTTTGGGGATGGGACAATCTGTTCTCTGGAGGCTCCTGACCCATTTAGGAGCATTGTTTCTTTTAACTGTGTGTGATTTTTGTTCCCATGGGGATTTTCTGGGCCCCCTTCTGTAGGACAGCCCCACCATCCTGCCCAATTGGTTTTGAACAATTGTTTTCCCTTTTTAACAACAACAAAGTTATATATATATATATATATATATATATATATACACACACACATATATATATAAAGTTGAGGGGGTTTGGACTTCAAGTTTCTCTGTTGTGTTGGGATTTCCGATACTGTGTGGTTTATTTGGTTTTCTGTTGGCCTTGACTTTGTTTTGCATTTGGGTGTGTACTCTGGCTGCCCTTTATGTTTCGTTCTCAGCCACTGGCTGTGGAGTCAAAAACACTTGCATACTGAAACACCTGTGTCAGGGCCTTTGTCTCCTGTCTTCACGATTCTCCTCTTTGTGGCTTTGGGGGAGTTGAGTGGTCCCTAGGGATACAGTGGGTGAAGGCAAGGCAAGATAGAGTTTTGGGTCATTAGGTCGGGGTGGGAATCTGGAAAGGAAGGATGGGCATGTCCCAGGGCTCCTGCCCTCCTGAGGGTAAAATGGTCCATCTTGGGGTTGCCTTCACCTGAAGATGTGGGAAGAGCATTCCTTGTTTGCAACTGGAGTAACAGGAATAGGGGAGAGGCCCCCTATGGCTGCTGGGTGGTGGTGCAGTCCTCCCTAATCCAGTCGGAAATCAGCTGCCCACTAATTCCTCTTCATGCTGGGACTATCCACCTGGCTACACTGTGTAGTTCCCCAGCCTGCCCTTACCCTTGCCAGCCTTCACTGCTGTACCAGTGCCTTACCTGCCCACCTGAGCCGTGCTGGCTCTCCATGATTCTAGTTTCCAGTGACCTAGCTATAAACGCAAGACTCCTGCCCCTAGTTTTACAATTACTCCCACTTTTCGATAAACAGAAGTTAAAATTGTCTGCAGGCCCCAGAATGTGTCTTTGAATGAGAGATTTTCTGAAGGTCTGGATCCTACAAACTTTTAAGCTCTGTCTTTGGGGCCTCTCACTGTAGCTTGAGTGGGCAGGCCATGGGAATGATGTGTCTGGCTTCCTGGAGTCCAGTCATTGTCCAGGAGTAAACTTAAGCGCTCTCCTTACCCACACCTCAGGAACTCGCTTCTGCCTGAGTCTGTCCAGATACAGGAGCATCATCCTTTTTAGAGGCACAACACTAATCTGCCTCACTGCTGTTCCCCTCCCCGCTTTCTGATCACAGGTCATCCCAAACACCCCATAGTGTTTCCAATTTCAGGTCCATCCTCTCTTTGAAACTTGCAATAAAAAGGCAAGCATACATGGTGGCCCATGCCCATAATCCCAGCTTGAGGGAGTGAGGCATTGAGGCAGATGGATTGCTGTGAATTCTAGGTCAAGCCAGGGCGATATGGCAAGACCCTGTCCCAAAAGAACAAGCAAGGTGTGGCAATGCATGCCTGTAATCCCACTTCTCTGAAAGACAGAGACAGGAGGATTTGAGGTCAGCTTGGGCTACACAGATGAGACCTTGTCTCAACAAAAACCTTGCCATTCAGAAGTCAGGCATGTCAGGAGGTTACAGAAGCTGTGGATGGTGTGGTTTGACAGTATTCAGATAGGCCCAAAATGCCGTGGGAGCTCAAAGGGCTGGACAAGGGCACCTGGATGATTGGAACACATGGCCTGGGAGAGATGACGAATGGTGTATACTTAGTATAAATAGTTACCAGGGAATGATGTTTGGATTGAGGGCACAATCTGAGCAAAGGCCTGGAGAGGAGAATTTTAAGAGTCAACAGCAGTTTCATATTTTCATGCTTATGGGTTTCTTACCCACACATTAACTGGAGACCATTGTCAGGTTATGAGAATCAAGGCTAGAAGCATGGACAGATACTAAAGCTAGTGGCCTCTTAAATCTGGGGTCAGACAGTTGTGAGCTGCCATGTGGGTACTGGGAATTAAACCCGTGTCCTCTGGAAGAGCAGCCAGTGCTCTTAACTGCTGGGCCATCTCTCCAGCCCCAGCTGGTGGCCTCTTAATTAAAAGTTCTTTGAGTGCTTTCCTGTGTGGAATAGGGAGAGCTAATACCGCTCACTACTGTGCACCTTGCTTGAGAGCCTAATCTTTCCAGTGGGCGCTCAGTTTACCAAACTCTGGATAGATGAGACTTTATAAAGAACAAAATAAGAGTTTCGCTGAAGTCAGTTCCCCCTCTGTGCCAAGGTCAGTTAATGTTGATCTTGCCAGGATGGTCCTCTTCTGGTGTTGAGAGCACCCCTATCAACTTCTGGATTTTCATGCCTGGTCTCTAGATGATAGAGGTGATGGAGAGAGGTGAACTAGGCAGTACGTTGCCGCTTTCATAATCTGGTCTAATCAGAAAATCTGTTGGGCATTTTATTGTGTTGGGTCTTGACGCGTTTTCAAAGAGTCAGGTATGCCTAAGGCATCCTGGACCACTATAAGGGAGTCACCAAATGTTCAGGCATGTTGGATTCAGAAGGAGGGGCAGGCCTGGTTCTATGTTTCCCCCTTAGAGGGATAGTTTTCACTCTTAGGGGGGCCGACCACTGCAATGATGTGTCACTGGGTGCACGATCCTCCCAGGCTCAGGGCCCCCTTCTCCCGGAGCTTGGGTTCAAGCTGCAGACACATGCCTCGATCGTTCTCCCATTTCAAGAGAGAAAGTGCTGGTTCTTGAAAGTGTCGCTAAAGGCAGGCCAAGGAGAGAGGAGCATCAGATCCAGGGCCTGTCGAGGGATTGGTGATGGCCCGGAGCCTGCTTTTGCTTTTCTAGGGAGTGCGCAGGGAGCCCAGGAGGCCAGCAGACTCTTGCTCACCTGCGAGTACGCGAGGCTGGGGGCGGGGCCAGGGAGCGAGCGGTTGGCCAATGAGGAGGAGACACTCCGTGGACAGCTCAACTCTCCTTGGGAAGGAAAGGGGACCGAGGGTAAAGTTCGAAGCTCCAGAGCTAGGGTGGTTGTCGGCGGGAACCCGAACCTCCCCGGGAGTCAGAGAACGCGGTCAAGGGACAGGAAGAAGCCCGCTTAGCCCGCTCCTCTGGGAGCGGTGGGCCACGCCCTGACCGCCCCTCCCTCCCCGGGCTCCGCCTGGCTGGCCCACCGTCGCCGGCTCCACAGCGCCACCTGCTGGATATTGGCTTCTATATCTGGCGCACCGGGCACAGGCGAGAGGAGGCTGCTGAGGCTGGGAGCCCAAAGTTGGCTCACCCTAGGCCACTGCCTTTCTGAGTACAGTCAGCAAGCTTGTGACCATCAGAAAAACTTGGTTGTCCCCGCCCGAGGAGGGGGAGGGGGTGACATTTCTACCTCAGTTCCACCCAGGGATGAGGAAATAGTGCTGAGGCAGTCGCTGGAAGGGAGACAGTGGCAGTTGTTTGGGAGTCGCCTGTCAGCAAAGCATAGTGGAAAGCAACTCTGAGCTCCCGGTGAACCCAACGGTAAATAAACATGTGGGTAAAGGGAGTAGCTGCCTGAAATGTTGTGTGATGGGTCAAAATGCTGTACTAGGGGCTGCGGATGTAGCTCAGTTGGTAGAGTGTTTGTCCAGCATACTGGAAGCTCTCTGGGTTCCATCTTCAGCACCAAATAAATGGGTTTTGGCAACGAATGTATGACTCAGAACAGGGTCACATAGTCAGCTCCATGAGACCCCCCCCTTTCTCCAATGACATCAAAACAAAACATTGTGGTCGGAGTGGCCTACCTGTCCTGTTCCTGCTGTCACGCAGAAGGTTGCACAGTTGGAATCTGGACTCATTCATCTTTTCAATAAACATTTATTGAGCACCTACTGTGTGTCAGGCACTGTGGCTAGGTGCTGGGGATACATCATTGACTAGCACACAGCTCCTGTCCTGGAGGAGCTCACAGTCTATTGGAGGGGGAACGTACATAAACACAATTCAAGAACTACATACAATGTGCTACAATGAGAGGTATATACAAAGTGCTGTGGGAGCCAGGGGAGGGGAACACAGCGCTGGGAGGTGCAGATCTTCACTTGACTCCTGACTCCATTAGGCCATCACAAAAGTGGGGCTATTTCTGCCACCTGACTCTGCTTAAAGTAAATCTTTCTCCTGAGGTTCTCCTCTAGTCTCTTCCATAACTCTTGTCAGCAAGGGTTAGTTACCTGGGTAGCTAGTTTAACACTTTGTGTAGAAAAGAAACCGGACAGGGAGGTGTCTTTAGGATCAGAGGATGTTCAAAGTAATATAAGTCTTGGGTGTTAAGATAGGGGGCGGGGTGTACCGTGGGGGCACTGAGCCAGGAATGGCAGGCCCAGGGCAGTGAAGCACCCGGGGTAACTGTCTGAGGAGAGGGGAGGACAGGGGTCACCTACCTCTAGGTCCCCATCTCTCATCAGATCAATCAGTAACTAGTCATTGATGCTCCTCTGCTCTGTAGTCTGCCCCATTTTGTGGTGAAACAGTGATGCCTATCCCTCATGAGATAACACACACACACACACACACACACACACACACACACACACGACTAAATAGGTCCGGATCTAAACTTAAGGTCTATGTAACAGTTTGTGATTACGATAGAGATGTCACAGGCTGTTTATAATCGCCTGCCCATCAAGTGGCAGTTACAAGTTTGAATTAAACTTAAGAACTGGCTGCTTCTACCGAATTCAGTCTTGAGACACAATTTTTAGTTGTCAGTGAGGAGAGAAAACATTTTGGTTGAACAGAACCCAGGAAAGAAATGATAGGTGGGAATTTATGGCAGTAATAAATTCAAAGACCATGGAATCCTTTTGGAGTAGTACCTTGGAGTGGGGTGGGGAATATTGGACAGGACCACCAGCTTTGAGCTTTGTTTCCTGGTGAGGCTGACACCGAATTTCAGATCTTTCTAGAATTACTGCCATTAGCTCTCCAAGTGCTCCCCAATTCCTGCAGGACCCCTTGGGCCATGTCATGACTAAGAAACTAAAGGGTTAATGCTAGGCCTCTAGAAAAGCCTGGAGGGTATTTGAAATACTGGCCCTACCCGCGGGCCAGGACTCACTGCAGGCCTTTTAGCAGAGAAGGGGAGAATAAGTGGCCTGCAAGATGAGAAGTCACACTGGACAGGGTGCTGACGTGTTGGGAAGGGGGAAGCTGAGCAGCATGAGCTAGGCTGCATGCTCTGGGAATGTAGACAGGCTGGATGTCAGGAGAGGAGGAGAGGGACAGGGTCAAGTGCAGGTAGCCAGCAGACATCTCAGAGATCTCAAGTCTAGGTCAGGAAGCAGCTCACTAGAGCTGGGAGCCACGGACTTAGAAAAGTAGGCTCTGGATTGCCAACTCATTTCAAAGACCTGGCCCAGGACAACGGTGGGATCCTTGGAGAACACC